ACAGGTGTCCATACCTCCCAGGCATCTCAATTAAAGACACCTTAACCCCCAGGGGTCTTCCAACTTGGCCTTTGATGACTTGTGGACTTCAACTCCCAGAATTCCTCAGCCAGGCACGCTGGCTGGGGAATTCTGGGAGTTGAAGTCCACTCCTCCTAAAGTCTATCTCAGGGGCACGCTGGCTGGGGAATTCTGGGAGTTGAAGTCCACTCCTCCTAAAGTCTATCTCAGGGGTCTTCCAACTTGGCCCTTTGATGACTCGTGGACTTCAACTCCCAGAATTCTTCAGCCAGGCACGCTGGCTGAGGAATTCTGGGAGTTGAAGTCCATTCCTCTTAAAGTCTATCTCAGGGGTCTTCCAACGTGGCCCTTTGATGACTCGTGGACTTCAACTCCCAGAATTCCTCAGCCAGGCAAGCTGGCTGAGGAATTCTGGGAGTTCAAGTCCACAAGTCTTAAAGTGCCCAAGTGGGAACACCCCCCTGACTTCGGACTATGTCGCATGATCAGAATTCAGACACTTGGCCATTAATTCCTATTTATGACAGTCGCAGTGCCCAGGGATCATGACCTTCTGGCAAGCCAGATTCACTTAACAAACACGTTACTAACTTAAGAACTGCAGTGATCCACTTAACAACCGCAGCAAGAAAGGTGGTAAAATGGGGGGGCAAACCTCACTTAACAACTGTCTCGGTTAACAACGGAAACTTTGAGCTCCATAGTGGTCATAAGCCGGTGGGCTATTTGTACACAATAAGCGCTGGGTTACGATCCTTTTGTATGAGGCCCCCAAAGGCTGAGTTCCATGGAGCAAGGCGCTCAGAGGCTGTTAGTCAGCCTAGAATGCTAGGGCTGGAAGAGGCATTGGAGGTCATCTAGTCCAACCCCCTTCCAAGGCAAGAGACCTCATACTATCCCAGACAAATGGCTGTCCAATCTCTTCTTGGTTCTATCATTTCTTCAAATAACATTTTTATAATAAATTGCTGTTAATCCATCAGTACCTGGAGCCTTACCAACCTTTAATTGCTCAATTGCCCCAATAATCTCATCCGAAGTAATTAAACCAATAATCTCATCTCGTTGATCAGTAGTAGGTCTAGGAAAATGTGCTTCCTGTAAATACTTTTCTATATCTAAAACTTGTATATTTTCACTAGCATATAACTTAGAATAAAAATCTAAAAAACTCCTTTTAATCAAATTTTGTTAATATACTTCTTTACCTTTATAATTTATTTTTTCTGTCCAATCTCTTCTTGAAAACCTCCAGCAATGGAGCATCCACAATTCTGGTGTATGGGGGGGGGAACCAGGGCATGTTTCTTTGCAAATCATGGGGTCCACATCCAGATTGCACCCCAAGTCCTTGAGGCCATGTGCCCCAATCCCAGGCTTCAGTTGTGAGCCACCAACCCAATCCTAAATATTTAACAAAGTATTAGTACTGCTTTATCAAAGCCCAGTGAGGCCACACCTGGAATACTGCAGCCAATTTCGGTCACCGTATCACAAAAAAGATATTGAGAGTCTGGGAAAACATCCGGAGAAGAGCAACTAAGATGATCCAAGGCCTGGAGACTAAAACAGAAAAAGAATGGCTGCAGGAGTTGGGTTTGGCTAGTCTAAAGAAAAGAAGAAACAGGGGGGACATGATAGCAGCGCTCCAGTGTTTGAGGGGCTGCCACAAAGAAGAGGGGCTCAAATTATTCTCCAAAGCACCAGAGGGAAGGACGAGAAACAATGGTTGGAAATTGACTAAAGAGAGAAGCAATCTGGCATTAAGGAGAAATTTCCTGACAGTGAGTGAGGACAATGAACCAGTGGAACAGCTTGCCTCCAGAAATCGTGGGCGCTCCGTCACTGGAGATTTTTAAGAAGAGGCTGGGCAGTCACTTGTCTGAGATTTATTTATTTTATTTATTTATTTATGAGACTTATATACCGCTTTAAGTACAAGCACTCTCTAAGCGGTGTACACCAGTAACCAATGTATAGATATATATATTTACATTGCCCCCAACAATCTGGGTCCTCATTTTTCCTACCTCGGAAGGATGGAAGGCTGAGTCAACCTTGAGCCGGTGAGATTTGAACCGCTGACCTGCTGAACACAGTCAGCTAAAGTGGCCTGCAGTACTGCACTCTTAACTGCTGCGCCACCTCAGCTCATGGTATAGGTATGGTATAGGTTCTCCTGCTTCAGCAGCAGGCTGGACTAGAAGACCTCCAAGGTCCCTTCCAGCTCTATTCTATTCTAATCGAAATTTTCCCCGTGGCAGCTGTCGGCCTCCCACGGCCACCCGCAGCCAGCAACTCTGCTTTCTGTGTGCAAACACCCAACATTGTTGGTTCCAAGCTAAGCATCCGTTCCAGACCCTCCTCCGCCCCTCCCAGATAGATGTCAACACCTCTTCCAGGGTTTATTGCGTTTAATGACATTTGTGCCAGGGTTCCCCCCACAGGACACACGAAGGAGCTCACTGCTCACTGTGGAGCCTTTTGCTCCTTTCTTCTAAATTAATGACCTGCACGTTTGCTGCTGGGAGTTGGCAGCTATTTAATCTGGCTAAATGGAGCCACATTTCCCGGGATAAAAGGCAAGAAGGAAGTAGCTGAGCAAGCTGTCAACGTCTAAGGGTGGCTGCGGTCTCCAACCGAGGCTCAAAGCAGGTGAGATCATAATCAGAATAGAGCTGGACGGGACCTTGGAGGTCTTCTAGTCCAGCCCCCTGCTCAAGCAGGAGACTACTATAGAATAGAATAGAATATAGAATAGAATAGAATAGAATAGAATAGAATAGAATAGAATAGAATATAGGAATAGAATAGAATAGAATAGAATAGAATAGAATATATGAAATGGAATGGAAAAATAGAATAGAATAGAATAGAATAGAATAGAATAGAATAGAATAGAATAGAATAGAATAGAATAGATGAAATGGAACGGAAGAATAGAATAGAATAGAATAGAATAGAATAGAATAGAATAGAATAGAATAGAATAGGAATAAGGAATAGAATAGAATAGAAATAGAATAGAATATATGAAATGGAATGGAAAAATAGAATAGAATAGAATAGAATAGAATAGAATAGAATAGAATAGAATAGAATAGAATAGAATAGAATAGGAATAAGGAATAGAATAGAATAGAAATAGAATAGAATATATGAAATGGAATGGAAGACTAGAATAGAAATAGAAATAGGAATAGTATAGAATAGAATAGAATAGAATAGAATAGAATAGAATAGAATAGAATAGAATAGAATAGAATAGAATAGATGAAATGGAATGGAAGAATAAAATAGAACAGAACAGAACAGAATAGAATAGGAATAAGGAATAGAATAGAAATAGAATAGAATATATGAAATGGAATGGAATGGAAGACTAGAATAGAAATAGAAATAGAAATAGAATAGAATAGAATAGAATAGAATAGAATAGAATAGAACAGAATAGAATAGAATATATGAAATGGAATGGAAGAATAGAATAGAAATAGAATAGAATAGAGGTCTTCTAGTCCAGCCCCCTGCTCAAGACCCTCTACCATCTCAGACAGGTGGATGTCTATTCTCCAAAGCGCCTGAAGGCAGGATAAGAAACAATGGATGGAAACTCATCAAGGAGAGAAGCAACCTGGAACTAAGGAGAAACTCCCTGACATGCTCACCCCAGTCTGCCCTCCTGCACATACAATACACCCCCAAATTTCTGTGGCTAAGTGTGACATTTGTTAAGTGAATTTTGACCCGTTTTGTAACATTTCGGGCCACATTTGTTAAGTGTCTTACTGCAGCAGTTAATAACACCGTTGCGAAGTGAAGCTGGCTTCCCCCGGGGACTTTGGTCACCAAAGGGGATCACGGGGATGCTGCAACCGTCATAAATATGAGCCAGTTGCCGAATTTGGATCACGTGACCTTTGGGGAGGCTGTGAGGGTGCTGTCAAAAACTATCCTAAGTAACTTTTTTGGGAGCTGTTGTAACTTTGAACAGTCATTAAAATCAGGGGTCTTCCAACTTGGCCCTTTGATGACTTATGGACTTCAACTCCCAGAATTCCTCAGCCAGGCACGCGTGCCTGGCTGAGGAATTCTGGGAGTTGAAGTCCACGAGTCATCAAAGGGCCAAGTTGGAAGAGCCCTACATTAAATAAACTGTTGTTAGCCTGGGTCCATCCAAATAAGTTGTCCCTTCTGGAAGACACCAGTTCTGCAATCCAGTTGCAGATGTTCTGCAGATGTTGATCAAGATCCTGGGACGAGACATACGCAGAAACCAGGGCTGGGCCTTCCCAAACAACCTTCATTGTTGGCTCTGGATGTCAAGGACAAGGACACAGATTGTTGGAAACACTTGAACTGGGACACCCAGCGCTGCCTTTCTTTCTGCCTTTCCTCTTTTTCCATCAAAGCTGGGAGAGATTGAATAGATGCAACTATACATTTGGGCTTTCTGGTCTTTCTGCATGGTTTCAGTCAGCTTTACCCACTTGTAATTCATAAGTGACTTTTTTTAAAAATAAAATAAAATAAAATAAAATTTTCTGAGCTAGGACAGTGGTTCTCAACCTGTGGGTCGGGACCCCATTTGGGGTCGAACGACCATTTCACGGGGGTCGCGAAACAACGCAGTCCGCCATTTTCCCCCTTTTCCTTAGCTGTGCTACTCCCTTTTATTCTCTTGGCTTTTGAAAGCCAATCGAAGAGACTCTCTTGAATAGAGTCTAATTCTATTGGCTTTCAAAAGCCAATAGGAATTGTCCAGGCTGTCTCTGCCCTGCTGAGCCCGCCAAAAGTCCCATTCTGCAAACGGTGCTGCACCAGTTGAGTAGTCCTTGACTTAAGACCGGTTTAGTCCTTGACTTACGACCGGTTGGGGGTCGCGGCATTAAAAAGGTTGAGAACCAATGAGCTAGGAAGACAAAAGTCAAGCAAACCAATGGAGCGATTGGGTGAAATAGGAAGCCGTACATACATACATGGAGATGGGGCCGAGAGGGTTGCGTGTTAATTAAAGCCGAGCTGGTCATGCCATCCGCAAGCTACAAATTAAAATGTTTGATTAGTGAGGGAGTTAGACAAACGCAAGTCGAAAATACAATTGCAAAAGCAAAGCTTTCCGTACTAGAAACAAACACCATCTCATTTATTCTAACAGCGTAAAAGGAAACCCGCAGGCATTTCATTTATAGAGCAGAATAGAGCTGGAAGGGACCTTGGAGGTCTTCTAGTCCAGCCCCCTGCTCAAGCAGGAGAACCTATACCATCTCAGACAGGTGGATGTCTATTCTCCAAAGCGCCCTAAGGCAGGACAAGAAGCAACGGATGGAAACTCATCAAGGAGAGAAGCAACCTGGAACTAAGGAGAAACTTCCTGACAGTGAGGACAATTAACCAGTGGAACAGCCTGCCTCCAGAAGCGGTGAATGCTCCAACACTGGAAGTTTTTAAGAAGAGACTGGACAGCCATTTGTCTGAAATGGTATGGGGTTTCCTGCCTGAGCAGGGGGTTGGACTAGATGACCTCCAAGGTCCCTTCCAACTTTATTATCATTATGATTATTATTCATCATCACACAGTCAGCCAGATGTTCGGACTGGATTTGGCATTTTTGTCTACCTATCGAGTCCTTCCCAAGGACCTGGGAGAGGCAGATGTGGATGTTTGATGGTATTACAGATATCGTTGCAGGATGCAAGCCATCCTAGTAAGGCTGCCTTTTGCAGGGGGTTGGACTAGATGACCTCCAATGGAGAGCCCACGATTTCTGGTGGCAAGCTGTTCCACTGGAAAAAGTTCATATCCAGCTGCGTGAAGTCAAGGGCCCACGATTTTTTTAAAAAAATATTGCTATCTAACAAGGATGGCCAAAGATCTTCCTTTAACTTTCCATGGTGACAGGGAGAAAGACAGCCGGGACACCCCGTTTAATGCTACTTTGATGGGTCGGGACACCTTATGCTTTATAAAATGTTCCAACTTAATCGGATGCCAACCATGTGGGAAGCGGTGTCCGCCTCCCTTAAAGTTGCGAAGGTTGGAAAACCCTGATCCAATCTATTCTGTTTCTGATGCTGACCGGGGGGGGGGGGTCCTTAGTGCTCTCTGAGCTGGGTGGTTTTCTTGCAGATATTTCATCACCCAACTAGGGAACATCATCAGTGTGAGAAGGGAGTGGGGTTTGCAAGGAGGAGGAGGAGGAGGAGCAGGAGGAGGAGGAGCAGGAGCAGGAGGAGGACTGTGGGGTCCTTGGTGCTGTCTGAGCTGGGTGGTTTTCTTGCAGACATTTCATCACCCAACTAGGGAACATCATCAGTGTGAGAAGGGAGTGGGGTTTGTAGGGAGGAGGAGGAGGAGGAGGAGGAGGAGGAGCAGGAGGAGGAGCAGGAGGAGCAGGAGGAGGAGGAAGACTGTGGGGTCCTTGGTGCTGTCTGAGCTGGGCTGTTTTCCTGCAGACGTTTCATCACCCAGCTAGGTAATATCATCATTGTGAGAAGGGAGTGGGGTTTGCAGGGAGGAGGAGGAGGAGGAGGAGGAGGAGGAGGAGGAGGAGGAGGAGGAGGAGGAGGAGGAGGGGGAGGAGGAGGAAGACTGTGGGATCCTTGGTGCTGTCTGAGCTGGCCTGTTTTCCTGCAGACGTTTTATCACCCAGCTAGGTAACATCATCAGAGCTAGAAGGCTGTGGGGTTTGCTCTCTCTTTATATACTCGTGGCTTGCCTTGTCAGTATTGATGGGAATATTTTTGGTGGCTCCTTGATTAGGTTATTGTTTATTATTTCATTGTTCGTCTGAGTTGGTAGTTCCTTGGTGGGCTATTGTTCACTGTTCGATTGTTGGTCTAGTATTAACCATGGTTTTAATCTCTGCTTGTCTGGATGTTGAACCCCCAAGTCCATTCCCATCAATCTGACATAAATCACTGTACATAAACAGAGAGCAGACCCCGCTCACTTCTGCCACTGATGACGCTCCCTAGTCGGGTTATGAAATGTCTGCAAGGAAACCACCAGCTCAGAGAGCACCAGAGACTCCCCCCCTTCCTCCTCCTCCTCCTCCTCCTCCTCCTCCTCCTCCTCCTCCCCACCCCCCCTCCCTCCTAGCACTGATGATAGCAATAGCAGTAGCCCTTAGACTTATATACCGCTTCACAGTGCTTTACAGCCCTCTCTAAGCAGTTTGACAGAGTCAGCATATTTGCCCCCCAATAAGCTGGGTCCTCCTTTTACCGACTTTGGAAGGATGGAAGGCTGAGTCAACCTTGACTCAGTTACCTAGTTGGGTCATGAAATGTCTGCAAGAAAACCACCAAACTCAGAGAGCACCAAGGACCCCACAGTCCTCCTCCTCCTCTTTCCTTCCCCCCTCCCCCTCTTCTTCTTCTTCTTCTTCTTCTTCTTCTTCTTCTTCTTCTTCTTCTTCTTCTTCTTCTTCTTCTTCTTCTTCTTCTTCTTCTTCTTCTTCTTCTCCTTCTTCTTCTTCTTCTTCTCCTTCTTCTTCTCCTCCTTCTCTCTTCAAACCTCACTCCTTTGTAGCACTGATGATGTTCCCTAGTTGGGTCATGAAACGTCTGCAAGGAAAGCACCCAGCTCAGAGAGCACCAAGAACCCCATAGTCTTCCTCCTCCTCCTCCTCCTCCCCTTCCTCCTCGCAAACCCCATTCCCTTCTAGCACTGATGCTGTTACCTAGTTGGGTCATGAAACGTCTGCAAGAAAAGCACCCAGCTCAGAGACCACCAAGGACCCCATAGTCTTCTTCCTCCTCCTCCTCCTCCTCCTCCTCCTCCTCCTCCTCCCCTTCCTCCTCGCAAACCCCATTCCCTTCTAGCACTGATGCTGTTACCTAGTTGGGTCATGAAACGTCTGCAAGCAAACGACCCAGCTCAGAGGGAACCAAGGACCCCACAGTCCTCCTCCTCCTCCTCCTCTCTGCAAATACTCCCCTCTCTTCTAGCACTGATGATGTTCCCTAGTTGGGTCATGAAACGTCTGCAAGGAAACCCCCCAGCTCAGAGACCCCCAAGGACCCCGCCTTCTTTCTTCTGGGGTCTGGCCAAGGTTTTGCAGAAACATCTTCCGCAGGGCAGGCAGAACCCGGGTCCTGAGCACTGGAGAAGGAGCCATTCCTCAATGGGCTCCCAGGAGGCACCAACATCCGCCTCCCGTAACTGGGAAGAGAGAACAAGTCTCTCGATGGGAAGAGGGGAAGTTGGAGGAGTCTGGAGAGAAATGAGCCCAGCTTATGGTCTCCTGGCAGAGCGAGAATGCGCCTATCAACAAGAAGACGCATAGTTTTGGAAGCAGACCCTTGCAAGCGCCGATATCTAACCTCTTCTTTCCGTTCCGGGACAGGAACATCTTGGTACAGAAAGAAGAGATTAGGTATTCGAGGTCATCCTTTGGCCATGATTTTGGACACTGCCCGGGACAGGATTGGAACATCCTGTTCTGAGCAGCGTCCAAAATCGTGGCCAAAAGATCCAGTAACCGAGGACCTGGCCACGTTTCCTGGTATCGCGTGCCATGAAACCCCACCGCTCTAGATAGGATGCTCTCCAGGGCACTTTATATCGCATAGTTTGGCTGAACACAGGCACCTCCACTCAGAGAAGACGCCGATAAGCCAGGACCAGTTCTCCCTCAGATACCCCAAAGAAGCATTAGAGTCCCCAGGGTCTTGGTAAACTAGGGGGAGGGGGCTTCAGGTCAAGCAAAGGGTGTCTGCCTGTTGTCCAAACACACAGAGCAGAGAATGGTTCTACTAGGCCAGTGGTTCTCCACCTGTGGGTCGGGACCCCATTTGGGGTCGAACGACCATTTCACGGGTCGCCAAACAACGCAGTCCGCCATTTTTTCCCCCCTTTTCCTTAGCTGTGCTCCTCCCTTTTATTCTATTGGCTTTTGAAAGCCAATAGAAGAGACTCTCTTGAATAGAGTCTAATTCGATTGGCTTTCAAAAGCCAATAGGAATTGTCCAGGCTGTCTCTGCCCTGCTGAGCCCGCCAAAAGTCCCATTCTGCCAACGGGGCTGCACCAGTTGAGTAGTCCTCGACTTATGACCGGTTGAGTAGTCCTCGACTTACGACCAGTTGGGGGTCACGGCATTAAAAAGGTTGAGAACCACTGTACTAGGTGGTTATGGCAGAAAAGAGACAACTCCGAGTATTGGAATGAAGACATAACAGAATAAGAATACCACGGTTAGAAGAGAGCTTGGAGGTTGTCTAGTCCATCCCCCTGCTCAAGCAGAAGACCCTGTACTATTTCAGACATGTCTAATTTAAGGAAGAGAAGGACCAGGGGGGACAGGATGACAGCCTTCCAGTATCTCAGGGGCTGCCCCAAAGAAGAGGGAGTCAAGCTGTTCTCCAAAGCACCTGAAGGCAGGACGAGAAGCAACGGATGGAAACTGACCAAGGAGAGAAGCAACCTAGAACTAAGGAGAAACTTCCTGACTGTTAGAACAATTAACCAGTGGAACAACCTGCCTCCAGAAGCGGTGAATGCTCCAACACTGGAGGTTTTTAAAAAGAGAATGGACAGCCATTTGTCTGAAATGGTATAGGGTTTCCTGCCTGAGCAGGAGGTTGGACTAGATGACCTCCAAGGTCCCTTTCAACTTTACAATTATTATTATTATTATTATTACTATTACTATTATTATTATTATCATCATCATTATCATTATCATTATTATCATCATTATCATCATCATTAATAATGATGATAATAATGATAATAATGATAATAATAATAATAATTATTATTATTATTATTGACTGTCCAGTCTCTTCTTAAAAGCCTCCAGTGATGGAGCACCCACAAACTCTAGTGGCAAGCCATTCCACTGGTTAATTGTCCTCACTGTTAGGAAGTTTCTCCTTAGTTCCAGGTTGCTTCTCTCCTTGGTTAGTTTCCACTCGTTGCTTCTTGTCCTGCCCTTCTGGTGCTTTGGAGGACAGCTGGATCCCCTCTTCTCTATGGTATCCCCTCAAATATTGGAAGACTGCTATCTTGTGTCTCCCCCCCCCCAGTCCTTCTCT